AAACAAATACAATGTTAACAATAATAAAAGAAGTGCTATCATTACAAAGCCAAACAAGAGCAAAGTCTTCACATGTAATTTCGAAGCTTTGAGATCATTCTTCACCGTATCATCAGATATATTTATCTTTTCATTACCTCGCTTCTTTATTGCATCGCTCTATTCATCCACCCATTTAAAAAATTTGCAATAGCGGTTTATTAAATTTTTGGACACCTGTAAAATTTTCGGTCAGTATTGTCACATTTCTGAGTCGTGAAAACAACGCAAAACAGGTTGAAATCACGAAATACTGGTCAGTGTTTGGTGCCCCTAGAGCTTGTGGAATAGCTTGAGCTCATTCTGAATATTGAAAATTGATAAAATGTATAATATGGGTGAATTTGAAAAATGAATAAAAAAAGGAATAGTTTTATAAATAATACTATGTCAAGTGCTATGTATGTAATTTCTCCATATATTTTGCATATAAATCAAAAGTTTATTTCACTAATATATTATTGGGGCATTTACATACAAACCCGACAATTCTTATCTATTTATAACACAAACACTCATATTTACATAAGAAAATACTACCAACATCATCTCTTTAAAAGGAAAAGACACACATTTATGTATATATGTAATTACATAAAAATTGTGGGGTACCTATGTAAATTTCCATATATTATTCCAGCATGCTTTGTGGACAAATAGTCTGCGTTATAGACTTTGTAGTGCAGCCAGATCGAAAGTAGTTTGGCCACATTTTGGCACATAGTCTTAGTTTCTTATTTTGGTGACTTTGAATTAATTACGGTCAACATTTATGTAAAATTTAATTAAATATTTTATTTCAATAATAGCTAACTTATTTTGAAAGCTTCAAAGCTTCAATTCAAAATTTATGACATACATTTCACACAATTTTTATGTATTTATATGTATAATATTTAAATTTTTTATATTTATATATATAACGCATAATTCTTTAATATTACATAAAAACATCACTTTTACTAACTTTTTAAAAAGTGAAATATAAAATTTTATACATATGTTTATGATATCGAAGTGTTAGATTTGTAAATATTAAATTTTAGTTGTTAAATGTATAAATAGGTAAGAATAGAGGGGCAAGCATGTAAATTTCCCTAAAATTAAACTTACCTCAAGTCATCATATTTTTTCTTCTCCTTTCTAATGCTAATAATTATAAGAATATGAGAATGCACTTTTTATTTTTATTTTTTTATTGAAATGATGATAATTTTATTGAAAATAATATTAAATTCTAATTTAATTTAATAAATATTTAATATCAAACTCTAAGATCACAATTGAAAATTAAAAAAAAATCTAAATATTATTATCATTAGGGCTGTCAAAAAAAATCGTTGCTCGAGAACAGCTCGTATTCGGCATGTTCGTTAAGTAAACAAGGCGAATATGAAAAAATTTTTAAAACTCAAATTATAAATGAGTCGAACACGAGCCAAGCCTGAGCTCGTTTATAGCCCTAATCATAAGTACAAAATATGTCTTTATTTATGAATAAGCTAAATTATTATTCTTTTTTATAAAGAGATTAACCTACAAAAATTGCATATAAATATCTCCAAAATATAATTTTAAAAGTTAATTTCTTTTTATTTTTAAGTAATTTATCCAAGATTTTAAAACTCCATTATGCTTTAAATCTCAATTGTAATAAAATAATCAATTTTCGTTATTTTAATATGTTTTATAAATTCAATTATTAAGATTCAATTCTTAAGTTTGATCATTTAATTTAAATTCTTAAAAAAAAAAACTGAACATATCATTTTCATGGAATTTATCCCAAAACCAATAAAAATCAGATAAATAAACATATTTTTAGCAAATTTTAAATCCTTGCAATTAAAATCAACAAAAACTAAAAAAATGAAACAAATTTATGCTATTTTTAAAATTTTAAACTGCCTGCAATTTTTTCATAATTTACCCCGAAACAATTAGATTAATTACATGATGAACATCCTATTTCAAAAAAAAGCTCATATCCTCCTCTAACCCTCAAATCTCAGGCCACAGCGAGACGCTCCGATCTTCTACCGCGCGCAGAATTCGAATCTCCCGCCACAAACCACATCTCCTTCTCCGCCATTAAGATCTGATACTTTTCAGCTTTCCAGGATCTCTCCCCGCCGGCTTCAGGGAACAGGGAAGCGTAGGAGGATGAGATCTGATAAAGTATGTGTAGGAAAAGGGTTTCTTCGCAGGGAAGCGAGAGCGGACCAGGATGAGAATACCCGTACTCCTCTTCCGCTTCGATTAGCAGCTTTCTGAAAGCCGGATGGTTGAGATGCGAAGCTCTCACCACAAATCTGCGTTTTCTGCTTCCCACGCACACGGCTAGATGCCCCTCCGGGACGTCCGGCGGGTAACTGGAAGCGGTGGTCGCCAGAGATCCACGAGCCCTTGTTGTCCATCCGCTCAGCATCTCCCGAACCCAC